CAGCAGCAGCAGCAGCAACAACAGCAGCAACGACAACAGCAGCAGCAGCAACAACAGCAGCAACGACAACAGCAGCAGCAGCAACAGCAGCAATGACAACAGCAGCAGCAGCAGCAGCAACAGCAGCAACGACAACAGCAGCAGCAGCAACAACAGCAGCAACGACAACAGCAGCAGCAGCAGCAGCAACAGCAGCAACGACAACAGCAGCGGCAGCAACAACAGCAGCAACGACAACAGCAGCAGCAGCAGCAGCAACAGCAGCAACGACAACAGCAGCGGCAGCAGCAGCAGCGGCACCACCAACAACAACGTAAAGGTGGAAGGCACCCTGGTGATGCAAACGGTTAAGCGCTCGGCTGCTAACTGAAAGGTTGGCTGTCTGAACCCACCCAGTGGCTCCACAGGAGAAAGACCTGGTGATCTGCTTCCATACGATTATAGCCAAGAAAACCCTACGGGGCAGTTCTGTTTTGTCACATGGGGTTGCTATGAGTCAGAATCTACTTGACAGCACCCAACGACATGGTAAAAGGGGAGTCCGCGGGTGGCATAAACCATTAAGTGCCTGACTACTAACTGAAGGTCGGCAGTTGGAACGCACTCATGGGTGCACCGGGAGAAAGCCTCACGCTCTGCTTCCAAAAGGTCACAGCCTTGAAAACTCCATGGGGTGCAGTTTTACTCTGTGACACATGGGGTCGCCATGAGTTGGGACTGACTTGACAGCAACTGGTTTTGTTTTGTTTTATGATAAAGGGGGAACGCTCTCAGCTGCTAACTGAAAGACTGGATGTTCATGTTCACCCAGAGGCACGTTGGAAGAAAAGCCTGGTTGTCTACTTCTGAAAAATCAGCCACTGATGACCCTACGGAGCACAGTTGTACTCTGATACAGACAGAGTCACCATACATTGGAATTGGCTCAGTGGCAACTGGTTGGCTGGCTGTTTGCTGTGGTAAAGGAGGAGTGCCTTGGGTAGTACAAACGGTTAATGCACGCAGCTGCTAACCAAAGGGTTGGAGGTTTGAGTCCATTCCAAGGAAGAAAGGCCTGGCAATCTCTTTCCAAAAAATCAGCCACTGAAAACCCTACAGAGTAGTTCTACTCTAATAAACCTGGGATCATTGTCTTGGTTATCTAGTGCTGCTATAACAGAAATACCACAAGTGGATGGCTTTAACAAAGAGAAATTTATTTTCTCACAGTTTAGGAGGCTAGAAGTCCAAATTCAGGGTGCCCACTCCAGGGGAAGGCTTTCTCTCTCCGTCGGCTCTAGGGGAAGGTCCTTGTCATAATCTTCCCCTGGTCTAGGAGATTCTCAGTGCAGGAACCCCAGGTCCAAAGGACGTACTCCTGCCTCTTCTTGCTTGGTGGTAATGAGGTCCCTCTCTTCTCTGCTCAATTCTCTTTTATATCTCAAAAGACATTAACTCAAGATACAACCTAATCCTGTAGATTGAGCCGTGCCTTATTAACATAACTGCCTCTAATCCTGCCTCATTAACGTCATAGAGGTTAGGATTTACAACACGTAGGATGATCACATCAGATCACAAAATGGAGGACAACCA